CTAATAAAGCCACTTAACCGTTGTACTGCGTGATACTACAACAGAAAATGTAAAATCAATATATAAGCAGTTAAGAAGTTCTCAAAGGAAACAAAACTATAAGGAAGCAATCTACCTTTTATTTAACAATGTATTGTTAACGAAATACTGTCGATCCGATCACCCGGAAATTTTTCGTGAAATAAGGAAAATATGTCAGTGTATTACGCCATATTTTTCTCAGAGTTGTAGCCTTTTAACAATGTTGCAGAAAACTCGAAAAATCGGGGAAATAAATTATTAATTTGTCAACCAGGTGTTCGTTTTATTTTTTCAATTGGTTATCTTAAGTTGAATTAAAAAACAAAAATAACCAAACATCATATATTACTCTTTTGATGCGAAAAACGGTATAACTTTGTTCCATTCCATAAAAATAGAGCTTTAACTTAATATCTCTTTGTGTTAAAAGTCCTCTCCTGAGAGATGATTTTATCCGAACGAATTTAAGAATAAGTCTAAAGTAAGGAATTCTCCTTTAATATCAATATAATGTCTATCACTTTGTTTTTCATTCACTGCAAGATAAAATCACTTGTCAAAATCATGTTTCGATTAATGATCAAACTAATTTGTTGTAATCTATATTCATGCCATAACCGCGAATGTCTGAGTATAGTCTTCTTTCCAAGGTGACAACGAATCAATGGTAATATAATAGGATATAGAATAACCAATATTTAAAAAATAAATCACTCGGCTGACCGGCTTTGTGACGCGAAGGCAGATTTCATATTGATCACACTGTTGACCAAAAGTGTATGTGTGCAATCAATAGTAAAGGGAATATGCTGAACTTGAAAAAGGAATAACCCTTAATCTGTAAGCAGAAATTATAATGACGTGAAGTGTTAATAAATTTTAATGAGATAATAAATACTCAACAATTCCTTTTAACAGTGAGTCGAGTAATTGGTATAAGTTTATTGAAATTACCTGATGGTCTGTAAGGACTTCCGAACTGCTCGGTTTCTAAGGTTAATCTAATAATTGGCCCGATCGTGTTCCAAGGGACAGTCTCGAGAACTTCCTGCCACACTTCCGGTCCACATAATCCCTGGGCAATTGCTGTGGCAGGACATCAAAGCATACTCCAGGTACGTTGGTACTGACCGGCAGTTCTACCAGTTAATTGAATAAATATTTCTGCAATGGAGTTCTCCCTCTCTCTTAAATTAAATTAAGATAGGGTATGCCTGATGTCTGATCCTATTGAATATTGCTTATATTTTCAATAAAAATTGTTGAAATTGAAAATAAAGAAACAAAGCAAACAGATTCCCAAAGTTCGAAGAACGTCGGAGGAAACCCGAACGCCACGTTCAAGACTTAAACAACACATTTGGGATCGGACATCAGAGAAATTAAAGATAAGCTTGAAAGTGTTCAGGATATTATTTTCAGATCACATAAAAAACCCAGACTACAAACATTTCATTTCGGGGAATGAATTGCGACATGTGTGTGAAAGTGACGATTTGTTTCTAAAATATCAGTTTGAAGTGCGACCCAGGCGCGGGTCGCTTATTTCCCGCATCTTATAGAGGGCCGGAGTTCTGACGTTATTCTACGACAGACCGATATAAAAAAGTCGATAAAACGTCAGAATAATTCGGACTACCGGGAAGGGTAAAGGGCCAACTCTGATTACACTAAAATGATCATAAATCATTGGAAGGTAGACGTGTTGGTGAATTATATGATACGCATTAACTGAACTGTTTAATCCTAAAAGGTTTTATTCCTGTTCTGATTTGCCTCTTTCTTCCTTAATTTCGCTGTTAGCGCTTTTATGAAATTGTTTGTAAAAGCACGTTATGTAATTAACGAGTTAATTCTGTAAACATTATTTCCTGTTAGTCATATTTTGATTTTCAATTATAACCATTGCGACACAAAGGGCGACTAAGTCAATGAAAACGGGGAAATAATTACACAGTTGTGTGTCATTTGGCAAGGTTAACATGTACTAATGAAATAAATTTTCTCAATATACCTGCAAAAAATACTTTCTTGAAAGAAAGAAATACAATACATATTTTGTGTGAGTTACATGTAAATATATTGCCAAACACGACCTTCTGTAATCATATTGGGGTGGTGGTGAGAAAAATACCATAACCAGCTTTGAAATCGAAATAAGATTATGTTCGCGTTTTTGTCAGAAAA